GGCACACAAAGACACAGTTGCTGGCACGGAATTCAATTAACAGATAGCAATCACCCTTGGGTGGCTGTGTGAGGTGGAAATATACAGGCATGCTAATAAGTAATATCTTAAAGCCAAGGCGTTTATCAGCCAGCAGCCAGACATGGGCATAAGTGTGGGCAGACAGCACTGCTCTGGGATATTTAATAAAACCTGCTCTCTTCATTTGAGGATTTGTGTTTAATCATTTGGTAACATTTTAGAAACATCCAGGCTGGGAAACTTCTCAAACGGAACTGCTTAGGTCAGAAAACGTAAAGAATTATTTACTGATACTAAAATAGCTGAAGGAACAGAGTGGATTCTAGGTAATATTAACAAAACTCTTTGTTGCCATCTTTCTGACCTTTTGAGTTTCTGGGGTATGCCTGCGACGTGAATCACAGCCTTATCTGGGGAAACATACAGAAGGCGTTCATTAATATTGGGAAAGTAAATGATTGAACTGCTATTTTAAATAAAATTTTAAACTTTTTTTTTTTTTTTTTTTTTTTTTTTCTTGGTTGAAAGCCTAAAGCTAAAATAGTTTCCTTCTAGGCTCCTTGAACTTTAATTTGCATTGCATTTTGGGCTTTCAGAGGCTTCAGGCAGGCCAAGATTTGTCATCCACTGAAAAATGTTCAATTTAAACTTTCTTGTCAGGGCTGTCTTTGTGCCACAGCAGTCGGGTGAATTTTCAGGACTGTTTTGCATGGCTAAATACTGCTGCTTGGAGGAAAGGGCAATCCAGAAGCAAAAATGTGCCTTTCTGTAAAGGAAGGCAGTTGAACTCTGCAAGATATTTGTTAGGATCTTCATGCAGAAGAAATGTAACACATGGTGTGAGTACATTCCTGGGTATCTCTCCAGGGTTAAAGCATTCATCAAATTAAAGTGTCTTGAAGCAGGACAAATGGAGAACAGCCAGCCTGGTCATGGGGCATGCAGGAAGCAGCACGTGTGAGCCATTAGCGAAGTCTGGAGGCTTTTGGCTAGGAAGAAGATAGTATTGCTGATAGATATTCATTGCTTTTGGTTTTGCCTCTGCTCTGAGTAGACAGATGTGCTTTCTGTAGTCATATGCTCGGCTGCTGTAACTAGGCTAGTGGCAGCAGAAAATCTGCTGTGCTTCTACTCCTGCCCCACCACGTTAACAGCTGCAGGAGCTGGAGGAACTTCCTTCAGAGCATGGTGCTTTAGGAACCCCTGGGTTGTCCTGCTGTTATTGGCGTGGCTGCCTACCACACTCAGGTTTGAATATTTCTGATGGTCCATGAAGGCTACGGTGGTCACTAATAGCAAAACCGTAGCTAAAGGAATGGCGTGGTTGTCCAGTTTGCAAATCTTAGTAACCTGGTTTTGCCAGGGGACTTGTAAAAGGCATGAGTGGGCTGAAACCAATGTTAAAGGTGGGCTGTGAGCATGCTAGAAGTACCCTCTAACAGGTACTCTCACTACCCCTTTTCTTTTGCCTGGGGATTCATGTGATCTACAAATCAGTGGCCTGAGCCTTCTCTGCCAACCATTTCCCAAAGTGCTGGCACGCAGCCCAGCTTCGGCTGTGCTCAGGAAGTTGTAAAGTGGCTCTGAATAGCTGCTGTGAAGCTGTCCCTGCGCTGCTCCTGTCACAAAGAGTTTTCAGTGCCCGCCTCGCTAATGGATGGGTCTCTCCTATACATAGCGCCGAACAATGTGGTGATACATTCAGGTTTTATTAGTGTGAGTTTAGAGTGGCCACATTATTCATAATGGCAATGCCGCAAGAGAATTGCGCAGTTCATCCCAAACGGGAGACCATAAATCCAACAAGCCACACAGCACCGGCGAATGGTGTGTTTTCATCACTTATTTTGCAGGAAAGCTATTTGTATTCCCTCTGTATGTAAACCCAAGCTGTCTTAATATTGCAAGCCCAAACTGTGTTGGAGGAGGTAATAACAACAACAAAAATCGTATCGAGTGCATTTTAGGGAACTCCGTCATAGCTCTGTGGTACTAAGGCTTGGTACCTGCTGCCTCATTAGAGGGGGGCAATTACTGTAGCAGGGTATTGGGGTAGGGTGCTGGGGCACCCCCGGTGCTGCTGGAAATGCTCAGCCCTTGCCTGTCTGCATGGTACTGCAGGGCAGCCCTGCAGTTGCTTTGGGACTGAATATTGCTCTCCTTTGCTGCGAATCGTGCATGTGCGGGTCTTGTGTATGTATGGGACAAGGAGAGACTTTGTTTTCCTGCTTGCTGAGGTTCCCTTTATAGACAGCAGCTGCAACAGTGGGAAGCGTGTGAATTATACTCGGCGGAGCTACATTAGTAGACAGAGTGGAGGTAAGTTGGTCAAAAGTTCAAGACAATTGTAATTTACTGTGAGGATGACACATCAGCTGTCTGATATAAATCAGGTTTCACAGGCGTCGGGGAGCAGTTCAAGCTATACGTCGGTTCGCTGCTGGGCTTTTCTGAGGAGCCTGGGATCAAGGAGCCAGCGTGGGTTCGCAGCGAGCGCAAGCAGCTGCTCGGGAGGAATGGGACTGAAGCAACTGCCTCACTTTGTGTGGGCACCAGGTGACTGCTGGAGAGATGAAGCTGACTTCTCTGTGCTTCTGAACCTGCTCTAGTGACCTAGAAAAGCAGGGCTACACAAGCTGTTACCAGCCTTTCCAGCTACTGACTCTTGCAAAATGCCTGTCTCGGCTCCAGCAGCCCCTGTAGGGCCTGGAAGCTGGACGGTGGCTGCTTCCCCACCACCCAGAGCCTGAGTGCTGCTGCTGTGCTACTGCACAGCACTTGTTAAAGGAAATATTCATTAGAAGAACTGTGTATATTCCAGTTGCTGAGTGTTACTGTGTGACTCAGAACCAAAGGCACAGTGAAATTACAGAGTGGCTGCTTGTGAGTTGTGTAGGAAGCGCTGTCTGAACTTGCAGACACCCTTCCCCTTTCTCTTCTTCATCCACACCCTTTCAGGTATGGTCATTAATTAACCCAGGTCTGAGAGAGAGACCTCTGATTTCCCAAATCTTGCAGCTGAAACAATCCCTCTGCACACCAGCAGGTAGTTCACTTGCTGTTGGCATTAACACTGGAAGTGCTGACAGCAGCAGTGGAAGGTTAAACATGTTGGTAGAAAATCAATAGCATGATGCCCCCTTCTGCTCCCCTCAGCTTCTGAGGTGGAAAACAGCCCCTAGGTGCATGAAGGATATAAGTTAACGTTTCTCCAGCTCAGAACACATGCATTTATGCAAGAGGCTTAAAGGATATCTTTTATAATCCTAGTGTAGCGATGCTCCTCTTCATTCAGTGTCTGGATGAGGATTCTGTAGCGCTGGTTATTATGCCAAGCATGTGTTTTAAAACGTTAAGTACCTTGATTGTCTCTCACATAGCAAGTGCTGTCAGCAGTTTGCACAGTGCTTTTATGTGTCTTTTTTTTTTTTTCCTTTCTTTTTTTCTTTCCTCCCTGCGATACCTGTGTTCGGTGTAGAACTGATTCTGTTTCTGAAGCAATTCATTAAACATCTTCAGCGCTCCACTTCTGTGAAGAGGTCAATTTGTTCCTTCTGCCTAGTGATGCAAAACTCTGGGCTTCAGTTGGTAAATGCAAGTATTAGATGCATTTCTTGCTGTTTAACTTATGCTTTCCTTCAACCTATCCTCTCTTGCAATCTCCTCCTTTAACATGAGCATTTATTATTCATGAAATGTGGAGAGTGATGCTGCCGTATCAGTCTAGGACAGGTGCGGTTGGGTAGTCTGGCATGCATACAGCTCTCTGCTTGCTCTCTTCTGGAGGAGACATTTTTCACAGGGCAGAAATAAACTGTTTCTTTCTCCTAGGCTCCTTTTTTCTTATAAGGTACCAGTGGTGGGTCTTTACATGTCCGTATGATGAGTTTCCTGGAGCACAACTAACACAAAGGTGATTCCTAATGAGGTTCATGCACAGACTGCCAGATAGCCACGGTGTCCTCTCTAAGGTGGCCTCTCTGGTAGCTAAAAGCAGGACTCTGGAAAGAAGCCCTGTCCACAAAACCATTTTGGTTAGGTTCTTACCTTACATTATAGTTTCAAGTGTGGATGCATCCATAAATCTTTAGGTATGTAGTACTCTCTGTATCTTATACCTTATACCATAGTTGCAATAGTGGTTATTTCTAATACAGAAATGGATCTGGACCACACCTGCACATGCTAGATACAATAGGGTTCTTATTCAACAGCAAGTTCTAGGCTGGTTGGATGTGAACCAAAGGTAAACTTTATCTTGTGGGGGTCCTAGATAAAAGTGTTTTGTTTGTTTGATTGTTTGTTTGTTTGTTTTTGCCATTTTTTCCACATAATTCTTACCATTGTTCTGGGGACTACTCTAGTTTTTCCATCGTAGCTAGGAATACAGATTATGGTGTTTGGCTACCCAATAGTTCTGGAGGGAGCACACTGCTTCCTGCTGGAATAAAAACCGGTAGAGCTTCATAAAGTTATGCAGATGCTCTTGGTCAATATTAAATGAGTAGACTGGGGACAACAGATCCTGCAATCACTGGGACTATTAGAATATCAAGTGTATTAATTAAACTGTCCTACCAAGGAGCTGATATTTCCTCTGAACTGTGATTTATTTATTTTTTAAATTAAACTCTAATATTGTTTATTTCAGTAGTTACAGGTTTTTCTTAAAGGAGTTTTTAATATAAGTGAAGAAACCTAATTTTCTGGGCTGTATTTTGCATACGTTATAGCTTCTGTTTGGAAAACTATCCTCTTTCCCCCCCTCCCCTCCCCTCCCCCCCCTCCCCTCCATTTTTGTTTAGATAAAGTCAGAGTGTGAATTTAAGAAAAAAATAAATGATTGCAAAGAGTACCTAGAAAGCATAAATCACTGGGGGCTTCAGGGGGAACAGAATTGCAGGGCTAGTAGCTTGTGAAAACTTTGCAGTTACTTACCTCTTGATGCAATGGTATTTTCTTTTTTTCTGTTATCATAGAAAAGATCTGCAGAAGTATGTACTTGGATCACTGAAAAAGTGCAGTTCTCAAGGATGCTGACCAACTCATTATTCTTTGTTCTGATCCAGCTGAAAGATTTTCAGCCTACGGTTCATTTCCAAACAAACAAAACCAAAAAAGCCTGAACAGTAAGTGATGCCTCACATTTCCTGTTGGAAAAGATTTCAAAAGCTCATAAAATGTCTCCAGCCCATACAATATATCACGTCATATTAATTTATAGTAGTCAATGAACAGTCGGAAATGGTGGAGGAGAGAGATGGAGAGCCTATAATATTCAGCTTTATTCAGAACTGTATATCAGAGTGCTTTTTTTTCTTTACACACAGATCAGCCACAGCATCTCTTCTTCCTTGCTTCAGAAAAAATAAAAAGAAAGGAAGTAAGAAAGAAAGAAGGAGAAAAGGAAAGAAAGAAAATCCACATATTTGTATTATTTTATGTTCTCCAAGTAGCAAGTTCCCTCTGCCAACTATCTGTGGGTGTGCAGCCCTTCCTCGGGAACATGCCGTATCTTCTGAGTTCCTGTATTTGCGATATCACAGAGCTTTTGCTCTGCAGAGCCATGAATGGGGCCATTATGAGGGACCGTTAGATGATTAAGATTCTGAGAGGGGTAGGCTGCTAAAAGCGTGTTTAGTGAGGAAATTACAAGGCCAATAAAATAAAATGTCTTTGCAAGTTCCGACTGTATTCTTTTTTTCTGTGGATCTAATTTTTCAAGGTCTGTCTGGATCACGTTGAGGTTTTCTTTCATGCATTTTTTTTTTTTCTCTCCACAACAGGAGTTGAGTCTAGAGTCTAAGTCCAAGTTAATGAAGCTGCCTCAAAGTCAAGGAGGGAGAGAATAAACCACAGCTCTGAGGCACAGACCACTGGAGATTCCTCTTTCAAAACCTGCCTGTGCTGCTCACTGGAGTTATTCGATTTGGGAACAAGATAAGAATTCACAGCATCTGATTTGTAGAAATAACCCAGAGGAGGGAAAAACAGCCAGAAATACTAATTTCAGATATCATTTTCATCTGTCAGTTTCCTAATAGTCTTTCTGAGCACTAATAGCATTAACCAAATATAAGGCTCAGACTTTGGGGAGGTTGTGCACTGACTGACAAATGCATTTCCAAATAGCCCACAGTTCAGCAGTTCTTATTCTGTCAATACTGCATGACCAGGGAAGGTTTGGAGCATAATTCTCTCCCAGTTATTCATCTTTTCTCTTTCTCTTTTTTTTTCCCCTGAGTAAGAAATACACCTGGCAATTCATTGCTGATTTCCCAGGAGTGTTATTCATGCCAGTTTATTTATGTATTTATTATTCAAGTGCAAACTTACGAAGTTCTTTGTGGTAATCTGCAAATCAAACTGATGAAGGCAGAAGGCTGGCCTTTAAAGCAAGTGCTATAGAGGCAAAGGCAGGCATTTTGGCTGCCATTGTGCTGTGGCGCGGGATTGTGAGGAGCAATTAGGGGGTTGGACCCGATGATCTTTCGAAGCCCCTTCCAACCCCTACAATTCTGTGATTCTGTGAATTCATCCTGCCTGAGACCCAGGCCCAGGCCCTGGCTAGAGTTGCTAGACACATGTAGTCACCATGCTTAAATTAAGCAAGCTCTCTGCTATAAGAGCTTAGTTTTGGCAAAGCAACAACTGCTGCTGTTGAATGCATAGGTGTCATCTTCATTTTTGAGTGCTGGTAATGTATCGTTTGCAAGAAATGGGAATATATTTATGCCTAACTCCTTCACTCACTCAGAATTTGGGCTTCAGATTTAATAAAATTAAAGTCAAGGTGCAGTGTGCAGGGGCAGGGCCTTTTATCCACGGCATCCTTGCCCTGGGGTGATGGTGCAACCAGGAATTTTGGTGCAGACTTTGATGGTGACCCCTTACAACTGAAGAGGACAACCCGAGGAAGGTTTGTGAGGTGGGTTTCTGTCCTGTGGGTAACGGTGTGGGGGGAGATGTCTGTTCCTCAGGCTGGACACATGAAGTCTCTAGTGACTGTATTCATGCTCTTTCTCCAAAATCACAAGATACTGCTCCACCTTCAAAGGTTTGGAGACACGTGTCATCTGGTCCAGCTTAACTGCAACACAGTTACATGACATTTTGTTGGTATGGCTGTCCAGCCTGCCTGTGGCTTTACAGCTAACTCTTCCACACACTCAAAATTTAAACTTCAAGTTTTGTGTGGATTAAAGTTATTTATTAGGGTTGTGTTTTCATAATTTTCTCAGGAATTTGTTCTGCATGCCTTCATAAGGATTTAATTGCCTTCAATAGGCTATTAAGTACAACTGTATCCTAGCACATTAGTATCATAATTTATTATGTTAAATTGTCAGAACTACAACTAGGAGAAATCTATACTAAGGTTGTTAAGAAAAGGGCAAATTCAGCTTGGAATGTGGTCAACTGCAAAATAAAAAGCATCTCTTATATAGCACTTGTTTCTAAGCTCCTTTCTTCCTATTCCTGACTTTTTCTCCACTATTTCTTATAATTTAGACACAATCTTGTTACACAGTCCTTTGTTACTGTGTGAAAAACCCACACAAATGAGGTTCATTGATTACACAGAGGAAGAAGTAAAAATCCCATCAAATGCTTAAAGAAAGTGAATCAAATGTATTGTCATTTTTCTTTATTGACTTAGTATTGTTCCCTTTCACAATGAAGGATAAAAATGTGAGTTTGAAATTGTTGTGTCCCTTTACATGGTATATTGGTTTTCATGGGGTAGGAATCTCAGGGGGAATATAGTGATTTATGCTGGCAGAAGTTCTAGTTGCTTATTTGAATGCCATCCTGTGATGGTACCTAGTAGAGCCATAATATTTCTATGTTTTTCATGCGACTGTGTCTCATCTGCAAAGCTCAAATGTCATTGCCGCTTAGGGAAAGGTTACTGGTGAGAAATGTTTGAACTTTAAATGGATTCTTAATTTTGAATAGGATCCTATTTATTTATTTATTTATATTTTATTTTGCATTGAGCAACAAGTTTAGATTCAAACACCTCCAAAACTTTAGAAGATTCAAATTTGTATCTAAACCAAAAGGTGTGACTCAAATCTATGTCTAATATAAGGATAATTCAGTGTGTAAAGAGTGCATGCACACACACATACATTTGTGTCAACATATGTGAGTGTATTTTTCTCACTTCAAGATCGTATTGAAAGTAGTGACTTATTCCACTTTCACCAGAATTTCATCAGAGTTGAGTACTTCTCATAAAAAAAAAAGGAATTCAAGGAAAGAAATTTAAAAATAATTTATTGAGTAGCTAAAGAAGTTACTGATGGAAAAAAATCAAAGTAATCAACTGTTTGTTTTGGGGGAAAGTATGTTTCATGTACTAGAAGATTTTTAATTGTCCACTAGTCCCTTAACATTGTTCTGTATGGATTTCAGGACAAGATTTTGATTTGCAAATGGATGTAATAAAAAGGAGAACCCTTCTTATGTGGCTAATGCAATGTAAATCATTTAAATGTTGGAAGCATGAAGCTGTGATTGGCAGGAAGAGGGGAAGTTGAGTGGGCTGCATGGCAAAGCAGGGAATCAAAATGTGGAAATGAAGTAGACATAGAAACATTCTGGTTCTTTTGGAGAAAATCACTGTCTGATTTTTGGTTTTGCAGAAACAAAGACTGGGTGGCCTGGATGCGTATCCTGTCTTACCAGCAAATCCAGTGTTCAAGATTGTTTGCATAACCAATTCCAGCTTTGGCTCACTTCTGTTCTGAATAAGCAGTTAAGCAGTTTGGATATTTTTCAGTTCCCCGTGGGCTGGCAGAGGAAAGATAAGCAACACAGAGAGAGGACTGAGCGATGTGATCTGTTTAACTTCTGTTAGCCTATATGGATGCACCTCCCTAAAGGTGGTAAAGTGAAGCCAGATTCATTCTCATTGCTGACCAGCGTGCCAGGCAGAAAACCTTTGGAGTACTCCTTTCATGGGGAGAAAATGTTCAGTTCTTCAAGCACCCAACCCGTCTGCTGCCTTCTTTACCCTTCAAAATATCTGCAGAAGTTTTGAGTAGATTAGAAACAGATTAGAGCTGTCACCTGAAAACTGAGAGCACTCTGAACCTTGTGTGGGTTCCAGCTTGAGGGGGCCTGCAGCTGATACAGGAGGGACTGGGGTGACATCCAAGCATTTCAAACCTCCCCAGACCCCCTGCTATACTCTGCGAGTGGGTGCTAATGCTCTGCTGCACTGCAGACTCTCCCTACAGAAGTCCCCAAATGTATAGTTAGCACCCAAAATCACACCAGCTAGTGCATCTGACTTCCATCAGCAGGTTTGTGGCCATGATTTATTTATTTTTCTTCCATCTGCATGTGATTTTAGAACATGACAGAAGCCTGAAATGGAGACAAACAACCTTCAGATTCATTTTCTCTCACACTCATGGACACATGCAAGCTTATATAAAAAATAATTGACCACAGTGGAAAGGTACAGTGTTAATCCTTTTAAAAAGGCAGATATTTGGTTAATGCCAGCACTTCAGAGGCCCAGACGAGAGTGCATCCCCCTGATGAAAGTAGCCTCCAAGCACAAGGTACGAGACGGCTCCTGCCCCCAGGAATTTGCTGTCTCCACTCTTAACCCGCATGAAAGGAGTGTATTATGCCTGTAGAATGCACAGGGCTGACCAGGAAACTGAGAGTAGACCCAGGATCTCCATCCTGATACCCTGCATGGTGAGCTTCGCTATGGTTGCTTATTTCCTTACTGCAGTAGCACATCAATTGGATACATGGGTAGGGATTAGGTCCCCACTGCACCTAATGCTTCCTGAGCACAGAGGAGGAAGCAAACCCAGCCATGAAAAGCTCAGCAGTTGCAGCTGCTTAATTGATGGGGTTATTTTAAATCCAGTCAGTTAAATTGCCACGGACACCCTTTATTACAGCCTAGACAATTTTATTTCAAGTTGGCTTTAATCAATTAGGAATTGATTTTAGCTAAGTCGGCATAAGAACATCTGATCTGGTTTAACAAAATTGGTTTTAGAGAATTGAAATGGGTGTAAATTCAGCATGGGCCTAAGGAAGATTTTCTCCCTTTGCCTGCTAATGATGAGGTAGAGAAGAACTCAGTAAAACAACAAGCAAGGTGCAAGCATGGGGCTGGCTGACTGCCCTGCCAGGCTGCAGCTCCCCCAGCCTCCAAGGCATGGTCTCACTCCATGTGTTTTTAATGACCTTGTTTTCCACTGGGCCAGTGTTTTAAAGAGGTCTCCAAAGATGGCTGAGCTGGTGGGAGGCAGAGGGAATCAGGAGCTCTGCTTTTTGGTGAGGCGCTATCATGTTAAAATAGGAATGCCCTGGGAAATGAGTGTTATTAATAAAGGGTTTTTAGATATCGCTCATCTTTAATGCTATCTCACCTTTAGGGCTACTGAACATTTGCAAAATTATGTTATTCTTTCATGTGTCTTTAATTCCAACTTTAGATCTTTGTTCTTCTCAAAAGATTATTTTGATATTTTAGCCATACTGTAAAATTGGTACTATGTTAAAAACAGCAACAACAAAAAAGCCTGTTATCTTCGATTTGCTGCTGTTGTTTTTATCATGATCATTATGAGTTCTCATGTGGGATCTCTTTATCACAGGATGGTGAAATTTTCCATTTCTGTTCTCATAAATTGAAAGAACAAAGCTTCTGCAATCAAGGACCTGCTACTTCTGGTACTCTTGGAAGAAAAAAGCAGGATTTCTACCTAGGACTTGTTTACTTTGTGCCTGAGCTGTTCCCAAGCTTGATTTCTTCTGTAGGTACAAGTAGTGTTAATGAGGTGTTAATGTGTATGTAGGCGATGCAGACATAGATTTGCCTTTGATCAGTCGGTGTTCTTTCTTTCTCTCTCTCTCTCTTTTTTTTTTTCTTTCTTTTTTTTTTTTTTTTTTAACCTCGAAAATCTGTTTGCACCATGAGAGCCTGTTGACTTAACAGAAATTTCTCCAGAAGCTGAAAGAAACTCTGAAAACAATGTGAAGTGAAACTCCCACCGACTGCAATGGGGTCAGTATTGTTCCTTTGATTACAATTGTTTGAAGAGCAAAAACATATTCCCAAGGGTTTGCCTACATGCAGTTTCTGTACTGCTTTAAATATAGGCTTGAAAATAGTATACTGAAAGCACTATGTAGACTATGTACAATGCAGTTGTATTATTAGCAGGATGTTTATGCCAATGTAGCCTGTTTCCACAAATGTAGAGGAGCTCACAGTGCCTCCCTAGTTGTATCAGTACCATAACCTTGACTTTAAATTTGCACCCTTAAGGAGCTCACTTGGCAGAAAGACTGTGTGTTAGGCTTGGGTTTCTTGGCTCGTAATTATTAACACACGTGAAAAATGAAAACCAGGCTTTTAAAGTGAAAAAGCTCCAGAAAGTAGAAAAACAATGTTTTCGTCTTGCTGATGCGAGCTTCCTTATCATGTTGCTTTTGTTATCACTTTTGCTTACTCTTGCTGACATAAAGCAGCATTGCCTCATATTTATCAGAGTCACACAAAAATACAATCAGTGTCTATGTATGTGTGCGGGACATTTATAAAGCAAAGCCACACAAAGGTGTTCTGCTTAATGCTTGTGTCTCATTCCCAGCACTCCCCAGGCATTTCTGTATGACCCTGATGCCTGGAACAATTTTGTTTTTGAGGGGATGGTTGAGTGGGTTTCTCAGGGGATCTCATTTGCTATGGTTGTGCCTAAAAATCTACCAAGAAAAGGCTCCGTCTTCCCAGGCTCTGTGCAAGCAAGCAAGCCAGCAGGCAGGCCCTGCCTTCAGCACTAGAGCCCTCGTGTTGTGCCTGGCCACGCACAGCAGTGGGCAGATGTCAAGCACACAGCTGAAGACAGCAATGAGGTAGCAGCAACCAGCATGACAGCGCTGAGGCTTGAGGAGGGCTGGATGTGGGAGGCTTCCTGAGGAGAAGCAAAGCTGAAGTGGAAAAGGAGGGAAAAGAAGTGAGAAAGAGGAGCAGGGGAAGATGAAAACGCAGCAAAAAACAGTGCAGGAGCCCGAAGGATGGAGCCCACCAGCACAACTTGACAACTCAGTTAAAACTTGAAAGAAGCTCCAGAAACAGCTCCTGGTGCTGATGGTTCTGTAGCTTTCGCTCCAGCATGGGGTCTCGTTCTTGTTGCAGTCTTCCCCCCAAAGGCAATATGACAGGAAAAAGAATAAGGGTTGAATCACAGAGAAGGGATTTTAATTAGCCAAATTAGGATCCTGTTCCAAATTGTACTTTAGATAATGCCTGTCTCACTGTCTTCTAACTAAAGAAATTAACCTTACCAGACTTAGGTCAACCTTTGGAAGTACTCTCCGCATCCTCCTCTTCCCTCTCCACTCCTGGGGTGAATTAGGAGAGAGGAAGAAGAGGTGTCTCGCTGAGTAAGGTTATGCCCAAGGGTTGCAGAGGTGGAGAACAGCTGGGAAACTGGGCCCCAGTCTGCAGGGTCAACAGGTTTCTGCCTTGTCTGCATCTGATGACTTGAGGTTTTCTTTTTTTTTTTAATTATTTTTTTATTTTTTATTTGGAAATACATGCAAACTCCTAAAGATGGAAAGGGAGATTTTAAAGGTACTAGTAAAGAAGAAGCATAGTGAGCTGCACAACTCTACGTATAATGCTTGTTTATGAGCATTATAAATTAGAGTATTGTCTGGGTTTGTTAACTAAGCTTAAGTGAGCCTGTCATGGCAGGGCTGGGCACCTCACAAGGTAAGACTGACAGTCCTGGAAGCATTTGTTTTTTGCAGTGAGTAGCTCCAGTAACAGCTGCTGTATGTTTCCTCATCTTCCATTTCCTCCTCTCCCGCCCCAGGCTTATCTTTTGTTTGTTGTTCTAGTTTAGGCTTGATGTGCTTTCCCATTTCTTCTACTTTCTTTTAGTATGTTTTGACTTTTTTTTTTTTTTTTTTTTAACTCCCGTTTCCCCTTTCCCATCCCCATATTGAAGTTGCTGCTGACAAGAGTTGCCAGCCTATTTAACAGCTGCCTGGAGATGAGCACTTGGAGGATACAGACAGCAGGTGCAGCATGGGTGGCAGTGTCGGATGCCAGCCGAGACACTGTTGGTGCATGGAGTACCTCCTCTCCTCAGCCTCCGTGTTCATTTGCCCCCTTGGCTGGGCTACCAAGAGCATGTCACGGATGATGCTTATTTTTGGAGTGGGGACCAAATGCTTCAGAGCTGAACATATTCCATATGTTTTCACACCTGAAAGCTTTTCAAGGAGAGATCTGAGATGTTTCCTTTTATGCGCATACATTGAACTTTCTTTGCTTGGCTTTAGATTTTTTTAACACATATGCTGATTGCTTCCAGTGTGTGCTTATAGAAACTGGAGATATTTGCATTCATAGTATAGGAGATGATGGGGACTTGACAGATACTTGATTTGAGTTGGCTTGTTATTTCTAGATCTGGCTTATTGCAGCCACAGTGCCTACTGCTGTATCTCTATTGATTGAAGACAGACATCCTGAGGGATAACTTTGTCTTCCCTTTCATTTAAAAAGGGAAAAAAAGCTTGTCTCCAGCTCTGCTACTTGTGAAGACAGAAACAAATATGTAATGCAAACTGTTTGGTAAGATTGAAAGAGTTTCACTGAGTTCTAAAAAGTGGTCATTTGTTCAGCCTGTCTTCTCTGCCCTTCTCTGAGGTGTCCTTGCCAACCACAGCCCTAGTGTCCAGAGGTGTGCTGGGAAGGCTGTGGAAAAACAAGTGCTTGGCACTGCTTAGGTTAAACTAGTGAGGAAGGGTTGAAGAGAAACTGAAGGATAACTGATCCAAATTCAAAGCTTTGCCAGTTCCAAAGCAAAAAGGCACCCGACCTTCCCCTTATTTGTGTCCAGCCGGGCAAACTCTGATTCCTGGGTTCAATACCTTTGGGAGAGTTTCCTTGGACCATAGCCCAAATGGCTGGTTTATGTTTGCATCTCTAGAGCTCCAGCATCCTGAAAGTTTCTCTGCTATTTCTTACATTGTTCCTAGCAGAGAAAAGCCCCGATTGTGTCTAATTGTCCAAGTAGCGGATGGAGAAAGGATGAACATGGGTATCTGTTGGCACCGAAGAACTTGCCTTTGTCACTACAGGAACTGAAGCAAAGACTCAGTTCCCATCCTTCGGCATTGCCTCTCTTGACTGAAACACTGGGACTGCTCTGGCTTCCCTGCTCTGGCACTGCTGGGTTTGACCGCCCTGAAAATTACCATGGCTTGTACAGGTAAAAATGGGCAAAACTAAAACTCTCTAGGGTAACAGCGGCAGCGCAAGGCTTCCAACAGGACACGTGGCACAGGCTAGTAGCCCAGGCATTTACCTCCAGCCTCTCTGTTTCACCTTGCCTGAGCCTCTGTGGGATTTCTGCTAGCAATACCCTTGTATCCTCACTTAAAGAAAGCATGGCTGAATTCTCAAAGTCATAGAGGATTCCTACAAATGCATGCCTTTCCTTCGTGGGATATGAAGAAACTCTTTATATTTTGTACCTCATTTCTGCAGCTCGTAGAAGTAAAAACAAGGCTAGGAGAAATGGCAAACATCATGCTTCAAGCCTGAAAAATCTGTGGTTGCCAAGGTACAAATCTCTTTGAAGTAACGTGCTTACTATGTTTCATTTAGCGAATTGATCTGGTGGCTTACATTCCTATGAAGCCACTGCCTCACTTGCTCCTAGTTCCTCTCCCTCCCTCCTAGCCCCCAGAATATGGACCTGTCTAAGCAAGCTATGCCCTATGCTGGAAGGAGACCTCTGCTCATTCCTGCAAAATGAGGAAAAATAAAAATCCTTGCTGAGCAGCAGCAAAAGAGCAATGTTGCTGCCTGGAACTGCGTCAGGATCTCTGTGCTTATTAGGCCCTGTAACTGCTACAGCAGAGAAACAACTCACTGAGCCTGTTCAAAAGCCTACGGATTCTTTCTTGCATTAAGTTAATTAGTGAGAACTGAAAAAATCAGCAAATGTGTGAAAGAAAAGGATTAGGTATCTCATATCTTAGTAGCTCAGTGGAATTGCAAGGAAAAGGGATCCTACTCATCACTGATAAGAAATAAGTCTTTTATTCTGGCTTTGGTTTTTAGCAAAATTCATCACGATTTTTCCTTGTTCGCAGACACAATATTTGGTTGCTGAGGCAGATTCGATAACAACTAAACCAGAGAAACTTGTATGACCAGGTATTGCGTGGACACCATCTCATCTGAACCATTTGGGTGTACTTCTGGCTGAGAAGCACCATCCTCTAATTCCCTCCTGTACTTATTCCACCGTGAGAATATAGGGAGGAGAAAACCCACAAATGAACACACTCACTCCTCCCCAGCACTTAGCAGCACCAGGACAACAAGACAAACAGATGGAAGCCAATGCATCATCCACATGAAATCCCACCCTTTGCGAAAACATGCCAGCTGAAGAAGAGACAGGGTTCTTATTGGTGTTCTTTGCTGTGGAAAAGTCACATAAAAAATGTGACTTTTCTTGGCTTGAAGTTAACTAGTGAATGCTTTGCTTTTTTTCCCCCACCTTGGGTGTGTGTTATCTTGGCCAGGTGATCTCTGATATCTGGGATGTGGAAAAATTGAGACTTTCCAGGAAAAGCTCCAAATGGTGTAAACTTGCTTCCTGTTGTGTCCTATGGGCAGGATTGAATTTTGACCAGGAAGACTAGGAATTCCTTACCAGCCTCTTGACTTGTATTTTACATGGACCAAATGCATTTCCATCCAGAGCTGCAGTGGCAGATTTTCCTTGCCTTGCTGATAGATTTCATGTTGTGATGCACAAAACTTGCTTTTGATGGGTATTGGGATCCCTCTCCCCTCTGAGCATTTCAGTTGTGACATTTGGAAGTATTACTCGGGAAGCCTCTCACCATCTGGGCCTCCAGCAGGCTCAGCACCTGCACCACTGGTGTCCCCTGGCCTCTCCCAGCAGTGAGCCATCACTCCCCTGCAGCTGTCCCCTCCAGGTTCTCTACCTCAGCCTGTCAGCAGCTTCT